CTCCTTTCTGCCCCCCCACCGCCTCACCTTCATCTGAAAAGACATGAACACCCACCAAGCAAGTTCCCTCTGACATCAGGACCAACAGACCCAGGGGGAAGTTCGCCCATGTTAGCTTTTCCCTGACTGCTCCTGCTTACAAAGAATGCTCCTTTGGCAAGTCAGGGCAGCCTTGTGGTCTGTCTGTGAGGCACTTTTCTTCTGGGTGGCAGATAATGTCTCTATTTACCAACCGTTCACTCTGCCTCCTTGGCAGCCTCTGGAAACTTCCAGGCAGCAGTGTTTCAACCCCATTTGTTGGGGGTGACACTGAGGCACAAGAAGACACTGTTAGGATATACTACCGGAGCACAATACCAGATGAAAGCTTCAAGGGTTATTTTTAAAAACTAAAGCAACTGCAACAAGAATGGAATCGCACCGTTTAGACAGCACTGCCTTTCTTCACACCTCCTTCACCAGCCAACTGTGAAGTGAACCTCTACTGAGGGGCAACACGGGCAAATTTAAGCTTTCAATTTTGTCATTCTGCGCTTTCCGGAGGAGGGAGAGTGAGCTCGGAAATAGGTGATAGAGTGGGAGAGTGGAGACAGGAAGTGAAGTGAGAGGCTTGTATGATCCAGGCTGAGATAATTAAACTAAGAATAATCAACCTGGTGGAAGTTGCATGGAGACTCCAGAAATGACCCTCAGCTGTGCTCATAGCTCACTGCAAGACCACAGCAGTGACCTCGGGTCTGGCAGGTAGAAAACTCAGACTGTATAATTATATAAATATACACACAGATACATAAACACATATACACATGTTTACATACATAAAAATATATATACATTATTATATTTAATTATGTAATTATAATTGAGTTACAAGAACCTACTATGTTAGGATGTTTTCAAGATCAGGCCTCATTATAAGGGAAAACTGTTAGCCATAAAAATTGTTTTGTCTTGCCCCCAAAGGGATATGGCACTCTGTCTTTCTTTTGCTAATTAAGAGTTGAAAATTGTTGAAATGTTTCTTGTTGGCTAAACTGGAGAGAAGGCAATAAAATCCAGTGGAGACTTTGAGAATTAGGATCCATTGAGGTTTATGTGGGAAGGAGAAAGGCTTCGTGGACTGTGCCCGTGTTTATGATTCCATCAAATCTAGTCAGCCACAGCCCACCACCAAGGCATAGTCAAAACTGTGCAAATAACCAAATTTCTATCCCAAATGATAACACTGGGTCATATTTTCAATAGACAGAATTCACTGCTTAGCTCCACAGCAGTCTACATTCCAAAGCTTATCAGTGAAAATTATCTTCACGTGGTATTAGTAGTGGGCAGGTCCTTAAGGAAACCCCTTCATCTCATAAATAGAGGACACTGCATTCCAGAGAAGTGATTTGTCCAACGTTTTCTGGATGAGAAGCCACATCTTCTGAGTCTCAAGATCCATGAGTCTTCTTCCCACCCTCATGTCTCTGTTGGCAGCATCCAACCCAGTCAATGCATTAAAAGACATAAAAAGCACTGGTGCTCAGGCAGCACGCCAGCCTCCTGAGGAGGATCTGAGGGTCTTTGATATGCCCAACTCTTAACAGGCACCAAGGGCTCTAAGATGAATGATGCACAGTTTCTTCCCAGCTGGGGCTCCCAGACTTGCAAGGGTAACATGGAACTAAACAGCAGACAAATACAGAGTGGAACAAAAACCATTCCAGAAGAATGTACGAGAAACTGTGGGAGCTCAGAGGAGGGGCCAAAACCTGCCTTGAGGATGGTGGGTAGGAACCTGAGCTGAAAAGGCTGAAAAGAGAGTCAGCACCATCAGGTAGGGAAGAGGGACAACTGACATCCACCCTGCAGAGAACACTGCATGAGCAAGGGTGGGAGGCAGCCCAGGTGAGCAGGTTCAGGCCAGGCAACCCCAGGGAAGCCAGAGGAGCCAAATCCAGAAAGAAGCCAAACTATGCAAAGACAAACATCTGTGACTCTAAGCAAGGCTGCAGTGAGTATCAGGTCCAAGCAGACCTGTGCTGGAGCTGGGGAGTCCTGAGTGGGTGCTGGAACCAGATAGGAACCAACAGTACAGAAGATGAAGAGGGCCTTCCCGCGAGCCCAGCCCCAGCCCGCAGAGGCAGACACAGAGAGTCATGAGATCACCCCCCTGGCTTGTCCTGTCCACTGGGGCCACGTGAGATCTGAGCACCAACCTGGCTGGAGTCATTGGCTGATGAGAGTCTGACTTCCTTGAGTTGTGAGCCCTCCGGGACGGAACTGGACAAGTGAGGAGGTCAGAGTCTAAACTGAATCTCATTCCTGGCAAGGTTTCTTAATTCCTATCCTCTTTTCCCTCTCTCCCTCCATCTGGGCACCCTGAGAGAAGTGGAGACAGGACAGCCTGGAGGTTAAGACTGGCAGCGAAGGTTCTGCATTCAAACCCCACCTGGTTATTTACTGACTGGGTGACCATTGACAAAGCTGCATTAAGCTTCTTGATTCAGTTCCCTCATCTACACTCATAATTGTTAGATTAGACGAGAACACACAGGAAGTCGTTCGACACCTAGGAAGTGTCCTGTAAATGGCAGGTGCTCTCGTATTTAAAAGGTAAGCTGGCTACCATACTAAAACAAGTGTGACAAGCAACAAGGATTTATGTATAGTACAGGGAATTATATTCAATATCTTATAATAACCTATAACAGAATCTGAAAAATAACTGAATCACTTTGCTGTATACCTGAAACACAGTACTGTACATGGACTATACTTCAATTTAAAAAAACCACGTAAGCTGGGCCATATTTTAAAGGAACTCCCATGTCAGGCTAGACTTTGTGATAGATATTGTTTTTCAAAGATGACAGCAACAAAATCACTCACATGCTCTTCTTATGATGTGATTCCCTCCTCCCACAAGATACGGGGTTCTACGTTCCCTTCCCATGAATCCAGACAGGCTCATGGCCACAATGAAAGGGACAGTGTTATGGCTTCTGAAGCTGGATCAAACTCTGCCTCTCTTGGGAACGCATGCTCTTGGAACCCAGCCACCATACAGTAAGGACGCACAAGCAACCACATGGACAGACCACTATTCCAGCTGACATCCCCACTGATAGCAGCAACGAATCGCTGAAGATGTGACCAAGTGAGCCCTCAGACATCAAGTCACTCCAGCCTTTGAATCTTCCCAGCAGAGGCCCCAGACATCATACAGCTGAGACAAAGCCAACGCGTTGAGCCCTTTCCAAATGTCTGACCCAGAGAATCTATGAACCTAAAACAATGGTGGTTGTTTTATGCCACTTAGTTTGGGTTTGCTACACAGCAACAGATAATCACAACGATTGTTTTAAGGCAAGAGGCGGCCATGGAAAATTTATGAGTGCTGAAAAGGCAAGACAAAGGTTTCCAGAAAATTAACCTGACTATAGTAAGCTGAGATTGGTGGCAGGGAGCCTTAGTAGGAAACCAATGATACAATATAGCAGGCTTTAGGGCTTCCCTTAGAGACTAGCCCAATGGATTAACCACTAAGCCATCACCCCTGGTGGCTCAGCCGTATAGAATCTGCCTGCAATGCAGTAGAGGTAGGTTCAGTCTCTGGGTCGGGAGAAGGAAATGGCAACCCACTCCAGTATTTTTGCCTGTGAAATCCCATGGACAAGGAGTCTGGTGGACTACAGTCCATGGGGTTGCAAAAAAGTAGAACACAACTTAGTGACTAAACAACATGATGCAAACCTGAATACTGTAAGGCGGGGTTGGGGGCGGTGTGTGTTTATAGGAAACAGATTAAATGTGAGGGTTCAAGAACAGAGACTCCAAGGTTTGAACTAATGGTGGAACCTCTAACAGAATTAGGCTAATCCAAAAGGGGACTAATTTTTTTCCTGGTGGGCAGTAGGGAAAGAGGTTTAGAAAATAAATTCCATTTAAAATATACTGAATCTGCATGATGTTAGGATAATCCAAGAGGAAGTACCAAGCATGAAGGTAAAAATTAAGGGCTAGAAGTTGAATACTAGCTTTGGTGAAAATCTTGAAGAGGGGTGAGAATTATCTCCAAGATTATGCTGAGAATTGGTCTTATCCTTACCCTGTGTTTAGAGGAGAGATGATAGGGATCAGGTTTGGTGAGTCACAGAGGCAGGATCCTGGAGGTAGAACATCACAACCACACTGTGGAAAAGTGTGATGACTGCTGATGCCAGTTGCAGAGGAGGAGTCAAAGGGACAAAAGAGTGAAGAAAAAAGCAGGAACTGAAAAGGAAATTATGAAGGGATCCAGAGTCAGGGGAGAGCATCTCTGCTCCAACCAGAAGTGGAATCAGGCGCACACAGTGAAGACCGAAACGACACGAGCTTGAATCAGATGCACACAACTGAAGACTGAAACGACATGAGCTTGCTCAGCGCATCAGAGAGACAATTTCCTTTGAGTCTGCAAGGGAAATGGATGGGAACTGTCAAAGTGAGATGGTGAGGTGCACAGTTCTAAGGGTATAAAGTGGGTCCTGGAGCATCTCCACAACCTCACAAAGATAAAGCAGAGATTAATTACCCTAACACGTTTTGAGTTTCCTGGGATCGCACATCTGACACCTATCTTTCAGTCTTTCAGAGGAGCTGTTCTTAGCATTTGTTGAACTCCACAACATTCCTGCAAGGCAGATACTATCACTGGGTGAGGAAACAAAGGCCACACAGCAAGTCAAAAGCGGAGGCAAGACGAGAACAGGACCTGCCTTCCGTGCGGGGAAGGCCAGTTGGCTGGCTTCCTTTTGTGTCAGTAATAGGTTCTTTGATCTGTAACACGGAAGACGCTTGTTTCTGGGGAGGTTGTAAAAATAGATTCATTAACAACCATAAGGTACTCTGAAACTCACAGAGGGGGATATGGGAAAAAAAAAAAAGCCACCCACATTCTAGAAACAATAAAAGAAATTCCAGGGACAATGGGGATTCTAAGAACACTGAGGGAGATCTGGGCACTGAGGAAGTCAGTGTGAGCAGTAACCAGGAGGGAACGGCTGCATGGGGAGGAACCTTGGAGTGGTGGCCCTGCACCAGCTGTTCCTCACACATCTTTCTTCTGTCTTTTCACTTCAGGCAGACATACATGAGAGGGACTGGACTGGACTGGACTGAGACTCTTGGCCTCAAAGACAGAGTAGCTCGGAGACTCCCAGGCTGAGCTGTTGAACAAATGGGTAGGGTTTCCCAGGTGGCTCCGTGATCAAGAATCTGCCTGCCAAAGCAGGAGATGTGGGTTCAGTCCCTGGGTTGGGAAGATCTCCTGCAGAAGGAAATGACTACTCACTCCAGCATTCTCACCTAAGAAATCCTATGGACATACATGTAAATCCATGGTTAATTCATTTCAATGTATGACAAAAAACACTGCAATGATGTAAAGTAATTAGCCTCCAACTAATAAAAATAAATGGAAAAAAAAAAAAGAAAAAGAAATCCTATGGACAGAGGAGGCTGGTGGGCTACAGTCCACGAGCTGGACAAAAGAGCTGGACACAACATAGCAACTAAACAACAACAAAAACATGGGGCAGAGGGGTTCTCGACCAGAGCACCCCAGGGGTCCACAGAAGCAGCAAAGAGGAGGGGTTATGGTTTTGTGAATTGTTACTTGAAATCTCTGGAGAAGCAGCAGCATCATAGCTCTTCCAGTACCACATCTAACTTTTCCTAAAAACTTGAGTGTCCTAATAAAAGTAAAAAGGCAATGATGACATGGTTTGACTAGTAGTTAAGTCCTTATTCTAAATGAACAATGACGGAGTTTAAGATAACTGAAGGGGAAGGTAAGAGATATCTACTGAGTGCCTACCATCAGCTATCTCACTTATATCTCACTTAATATTCACACCCACAAGAGGTACTGGCAGCCCCATTTTACAGAGACGAAACAGGCTGGGAAAGGTTCAATCCTTTGCCCAAGGCCATAGTGCGGGTTCACGACAGAGCCAGGATTTGAGCCCTGACATGCCTCATTGCAGAGCTCATGCTCTCCTCTGTGCACTGCTCTGCCTGCCTCCCAACAGCTACAAGTTCAACATCAGTCAGGTCTGAACTAATGAGATTTATTGTACTGCCCAGAGATGGCTGCACCTCAGAACAGGAGAATGTGTAGGGAGGGGCACTTACATAATGTGCGCCTGGACTAAGCTTGTGATTCACAAAAGCAAGAAGAGACCAGGACGGATTCCAGGGTATGAGACTTTGTGTCATTCCTTCCTGCCCCAAAGAACCCTCACTCAGAACTCTCTGCCTATGTTCCACCTGCACTCCAGCTATCTCAAGGACCCTCACTGCTCCTGGACCTCCCCCACCACTGTCATTTCATCCAGCTAACTATCCTTTCTCCACTCTTTCAGAGTCTTGACTCAGTTGGCAAGGGAAGCCAGTCTCTGCAAAGTTGTTAGTTAACACATTACCCCTTCTAGCACACAGGTTTTCACTCAGGTAATAGGTACTTTACCACCATAAGGCTATAAAGGAGGAATTACAATGGTGGCCATCTCAGGCATCCTGGATGACTGACAAAGGAGACAATTTCTGCACAAACCTTGCCTCTATTTCCCCAGATAATCAACCTATTAACTAACTAGATATTACATTTTACCAACACCCACCAGCAGGTTAACTATTAGGCAGGTTACCCAATCTAATCAGGCTGGTACTGTTATTACACCCATTTTACAGGGACCAAACAGTCACAGGCTCAGCATCTTCCCAAAGTCACACAGCTGAACAGCCACAGAAGCAGGATTCAAACGCAGGCCATCTAGACTCTGTGCCATGCTCTTCACCACTAACCCATACAGTTCTCAAAGTGTGATTTGCCAAGACTCTTTCAGGGGCTCCACAAGGCTAAAACTCTTCCTAACAATACCAAGATGTCATTTGCCTTTGCATTGTGTTAATATTTGCACAGATGGGGCAAAAGCAATGGTGGGTAAAGCTGGACCTTTAATGCAAATCAAGGCGGTGGCACCAAACTGTACTAATAATCATTGTATTTTCACTGTTATGTACAGCTATTTATATTAACATATGATTACTTTATTACTGTTATTTTAAAGGGAACTAATAAATACATTCAAACTTTCTTAAGTTTTAACTTCAGATATGAGAAATATCAAAAGCTCTTCAGCATCCTCAATAATTTAAAAAAATTTCTTTTAATTGGAGGACAATTGCTTTACGGTGTTGTGTTGCTTTCTACCACACATCAAAATGAATCAGCCATAGGTATACATATGTTTCTTCCCTCTTGAACCTCCCTCCCACCCATCCCACCCATCTCTCTCCTGTCCTGGGAAACTCCTACTCTCCTTGAAGGAGTCATATTGCAGTAGGTACTCACCTCTGCTCTCTGCCTCCAAGGTGGGCTGTCACAGAGCACCAGGTTGAGCTCCCTGTGTTACAGAGCAACTTCTCATCAGCCACCCCTTTCACATACGGTATATATACCAACGCTACTCTCTCAATTTGTCCCACCGCTTCCTGCCCCGGCTGCATCCACATCTGTGCTCTACATTGGCGTCTCTATTCCTACCCTGCAAATAGGTTCACCAGTACCATTTTTCTAGATTCCATATATGTGTGTGAATACATGATATTTGTTTCTCTCTTTCTGACTGACTTCACTCTGTATGACAGGCTCTAGGCTCATCCACCTCAGCAGACCTGAGAGTCCTCAGTAGTCTGTGAGAGCACAAAGGGACTCCGAGACCAAACGTTTGAAAAATCACTGTTGTACAGCATGAGATCTAGAAGCAAAGAAGCCAGAAGAATAGACCATGCAGCTGCATCACTCTCCAGGTGAAAGGGCCCCACAGCTGCCATCATGAATGCCATGGACTTCTCAGCGAGTAAGTTTCAAGGATTCAATTTCTCATTAGGCTTTATGGCTTAATGAGCATTAAAGATCACTCTCAATTCCTTGCAGTTCCTAGAGTATACTTGTTCTCTCTCCTGTCATGGGAAATTCCTACTCTCCTTGAAGGAGTCATATTGCAGTAGGTACTCACCTCTGTTCTCTGCCTCCAAGCACCCACTATACCTTCTTCTAAGCACTAGGCTCGTGGTTCAGATGTTTGCTTATGTGGCTCTCTGAGGCCTTGAAAGCTAAACTTTTGACTTAATTCCAGCACTCTACTCAGTACTTGGCATACAGAGTGAAACTTAAAAAAAGATGTGTTCAATGAATGAAACCAATGAACTCCCCACCAAGCACCAAGCAATGTTCCAAAGGCAACCTGACTTTCTCAGGGGAAGGCGGCTGCTGGCCAGCCAAGAGGAAGAATGCAGGTTTTCTGAGTGCTTCTCAGTATGTTATTCAACTGACACTGACTCCCTAGCAAGTCTGCTGTTAGTTACATCACTGTAAACTGTACAACCGAGATGAAATTCAAGGCAAGCTCCCCCTGCATCCTGCCCACACCGAAGGGCCCTTTCTCTGCAGACCCTGGCCACCCTTTGTGATACCTGTGACACAGCTCTCTAAAACTGACAAAATGCTTTTAATCTGCCAGGTTTGAAGAAGCAATTTTGAGTAAAATGAATAACATATAAAGCCAATTAGAAAATCATCGCTGTAGCCTGAACTGCTATATGATCAGAGACTTCATAACTCAATTAGAGAAAAAGATTTTCCCCCCAAATTTTAATGTAAGCAATGTGTGGGAATAAAGGATGTTGAGTCAGATAATCCCCTGTGAGAATTACACACAATACAATGTGTATAAGTTATGAAAAATGTCCACATAGCTCAGGATGTTACAGCTTCTCTCTGGAATGCTGCTACTGTCCTGTTAACCCCCCTCGCCGCCTCCTCAACGCCCAGAGTTCTCTTATCCTGTTGTTCATCCTGCCTCTTCCCTCTCTTTTGCTCTCCCGAGTTCAGCTGCTTCCTCACTCTACTCACCTAGGAACTGAGGCTAGACACAGCTCAGACACAAGACACATCGCAGCCTTCTCGGCTATGCCAAATTAGGTGACCTCCTTACTTCATTATTCCTACACTGCCAGAATGCTGGACATCACCTATTCTCATCCCCTTATTTTACATAAGGGGAAACTGAGAAAAATGATGTTAAAGGACTGACATGCCATACTTCCTCAATATATTTCTGTATGTTTCAGGAAAACTGATGCCAAGGAAAAAGGGGGTGCCCAAGGGTAAAAGGAGGAAAGGGACTGAGGCATGTTTAAGACTGTTAGTATCCATTCAACACTATTTTTCGAGCATTTACTCTCTGTTGGGTGCCAGAGGCTCTGTGTCAGCACAGGCAACAGAGAAAAGCCTAACTGTGTATTAAAAATTTCGGAGAGGGCAATGGCATCCCACTCCAGTACTCCTGCCTGGAAAATCCCATGGACGGAGGAGCCTGGTAGGCTGCGGTCCATGGGATCGCTAAGAGTTGGACACGACTGAGCAACTTTCCTTTCATGTTTCACTTTCATGCACTGGAGAAGGAAATGGCAACCCACTCCAGTGTTCTTGCCTGGAGAATCCCAGGGACGGGGGAGCCTGGTGGGCTGCCGTACAGATGTTAAATCAGAGGGGAAAAAAGTAAATACAAATAGCACAACGGAAAACAAAATAAATACAGTAACCTAGGAAAATAGGAAACCTAGGATGCAATAGGCTCTCCATGGATGCAACAGGAAAGAAATGGAGGAAAGCATAATACATATATTCAGATTGGAGAAAAAAATTCTATCATCTTTCAATGCAAGGAAAACTGAATAAAAGACTAAGCAATTTATTCACATTGCAATTTAAGAATTTGCTGAGAAAGATTACATGCATTCACTATTGAGAAAGAATTTCTGGTGACAATTTTTAAAATCCCAAGATAATAAAATACAAGTACTTTTCATAAAACTCCCTTAACCCCCTCACTTCACCACAAGAGGGTGCACAGTTCCTTATTAATCCAGTAACAAAGTGAAACCCTCAAGTTCCCCCACAGGGCTGCCCACCTCTGCTCAGGGACCTCTCTTCCCTTCCCCCGAGCCTCAGGAGTGACGGATATCTGTATGGACTTGAGTAGGTTAAACTGCTTTCGCCCACATCATCTCATGTAATTCTAACACCATCTCTATTTGGGTGGGCAAAGTGAAAAGTACCAACCCCACTTTAAAGTCACTTTTAAGTCACTCGGAGGCAAAGTGACTTGGCCAAGGGCAGAGTAATAATAATCTCAGAGCCCAAAATCAAATTAATGTCCCCTGATTCCCAAATCTTATATACATGCCCCTTAATTCCCTATAAGAGCATAATCAAAACCCATGCCTCAATCATTCCATGCCTCTATCAACCCATTCTACTTTTTCTGAGCAAAGAATCATACACGAGATCAGGAAGCCTTGCTCACCTTTGCAGTCTTAAAGCTCTTTTTTTAAAAGTGTATGTTAACACCTGGCAATTACTTTTATGGGTTTCCAATGAGGTGAGAAGTACGCTGACACTTGTCTACAGTATTCCAGGCAGCATTAACACGGACCAGAATAATTTTAAGTGTTGGTTACAACAGGAAAATTAACTGTAATCTCAAATGTCTTTGGCCAGATCTTAAGAGATTCAGACTAAATAATTCCACAATGCCCTCTCTCATAAGAAACACTATATAGTGAAGGATTTGGGCTTGGCAGCCAGATTGAGTTCAAGTCCAAGCCCTGCCACTTACTCTGTGACCATGGCCAAGTATTCCAATCCGAAGCATGTCAGTCTCCTCTCCATTCTGCAGAGAGCAGCACCCACGTCACAGTTTAATAGTAAAGGTGCAGCCACCACAAGGAATAGCACCCAACACAGTAAACTATAAAAGGCAGTCCTTGTTTCAAAAGGACAGATAAAATAATTACAGTAATTATGAAGAGAAAACATTAATTTTATGTGCTTTGTCACAGTAGAACTATATTTTATGTATATGTATACTCAAAATTACATGTAAATCATAAATATGTATTATACATATTTTATAAACCACTTATGAATTTTTCCCTAGCTAAAAAATTTTGACATTTTGATTCCACTTTTTTGACTTAGTATGAATAGAATGCTATTTCTAATTTAAAAAATAGATATGCAACAAGAAACAAAGGTTTATTGTGTAGCACACTGTATAGTCAATATCTTGTAATAACCTATAATGGAAAATAATTTTAAAAATAATATGTGTATGTATATAACTGAGTCACCTTGCTGTGTACCTTAAACATGTTAAGTCAACTATACTTCAATAAAAAATGTATATTAGGAAAAAAATACATGTAAATCCCTTAATAATCTATGTGCACAGCAAATTATATCTTGAAGAATTTAGAGCATAAATATAAGTTATTAAGGAGTATACAGTCTCCTACCTCTGCTTTTATGACACTGCGTATCATATCCGTGGTTAATTCAATGCCAAGTCTGTGTGAAGATTTTCATCTCTTCACACAGCAGAGGGAGAGGAAACCTGAAGACCCAGGCTGTAGTCACCTCTGCCACTAAGCAGCATCCTCCTAATTCTACACCCACAGCTCCTAAATATCTCCAGAATCCACCATTTTCTCTTCATTCCTATTACCAAAAACAATAACTCACCCCTTATCATCTTGGGCTCCTAACTGAACATGGGAGGGGTCTCAAGAAGTTAGTTAAATAAGTGAATAAACGGGGCTGCGAAGAGTGACACTAAAGAAAAAGACTGCAAAAGCGGAGAGGGGGAATTAGTTCACAGACTACATACCTCCACTTTGCTTTTTATTTATTTACTTTTAAAGTTTTTTAAATTGAATTTGTTACAATATTGCTTCTGTTTTATGTTTTGGATTTTTTTTTTTGCCATAAGGCATGTGGGATCTTAGCTCCCCAACCAGGGATTGAACTCATGCCCCCTGCACTGGACCACCAGGGAACTCCCCATATCTCCACTTTGTTAATGTAAGTCTTAGCTCAGCTGACACGGTAAGACGCTGGGCTGCCCTCAGAAGGTTTTCTTGGCGGTAGTGTCACAGGACCCTCAGGGACCCCAGGTCACCTTTTCCAGTCCTGTTCAGTTTGCCAGGTAAAATTTAGCAGGACACTAGGCTGCTGGCTCCTACAGCCGGCTAAAGCCACTCTGGCCCCTCCAGGCCTAAGGTGGCACTGGGCCCAGCCTCAGGAGAAGTCATGTGGGCTTGCAGGGAGGTGGCTCCTTTCAAGGGCCCCACAGACCTCTGATCCACTCCCACTCCAAACATCACCCTCCTTCTCTAGGCTCTACCTCTAAATTCCTGCTTAGTTTGGATACCTCTCTTGCCTGATGCCTGTGGGCAGAGATAATTCCATGGCTCAGTTCAGTCGCTTGCTCAGTCGTGTCCAACTCTGCAATCCCATGGACTGCAGAACACCAGGTTTCCCTGTCCATCACCAACTCCTGGAGGTTGCTCAAACTCATGTCCATCGAGTTGGTGATGCCATCCAACAATCTCATCCTCCGTAGTCCCCTTCTCCTCCTGCCTTCAATCTTTCCCAGCATCAGGATCTTTTCCAAGGAGAGTTCTTCGCATCAGGTGGCCAAAGCACTGGAGCTTCAGCTTCAGCATCAGTCCTTCCAATGAATATTCAGGACTGATTGCCTTTTGGATGGACTGGTTTGATCTCCTTGCAGTCCAAGGGACTCTCAAGAGTCTTCTCCAACACCACAGTTCAAAAGCATCAATCCTTCAGTGCTCAGCTTTCTTTATGGTCCAACTCTCACATCCATACATGACTATTAGAAAAACCATAGCTCTGACTAGATGGGCCTTTGTTGGCAAAGTAATGTCTGTGCTTTTTAATATGCTGTCTATGTTGGTCATAGCTTTTCTTCCGAGGAGCAAGCGTGTCTTAATT